CCTCAAAGCTTTTCTTCTTGTAAGTTAGAGCACGGTCCAGACTAACTCCCAGATATTTTGGTGTGCTGCAATGCTCCAGTGGGATTCCTTCCCAGGTAATTCTCCAGCAACGTGCAGCATGTTTGAAGAAATGTAATGAGTTTTTACAATGGAAAAAAAGAAAGAAAGCCATGCATTACATCTCAAATAGCAGAAGTATTTTGCCATTGACAGACATCCTTTGTAAAAAGTTTCAAACAGTGCAGACATTGCAAAAAATAACATTTTGCTACCAAAAAATGTATTTGGCACTTGCTGCTTTTGCATGCAATGGTAGCACACAAGTGGATGACACTGTTTGGCTGAGAGGACATGTGACATTTCTCGCTGTTGCACGTATAGCCAGAAACGGCCTTCATATTTACATCAGACTCTGGTGTTGTCCACGTTATTATGCCACCTCGTTCTCAAAATGTTTGTTGATTCCCAGAATTCTGTAGCTTTGTCAAAAATGTACTCGATATACTTACATAAAAGGAAGATCGTATTCTCAGGAAGAGAGTTGAAGTTGTTTGTATGAGTATTTGAATGGACTTTAGAATGATAATTGTCAGTTATTGAAAATGACCAATCTTTCCTTTGTTTTCTATGAATAAAAGTATTATTGATAACTGCAGGGCTATTCACAATAATTATATTTCTTCTTCCATTTCTGAAAATAAAAGTATTTGGTTACTTTCGAATAAGTGATCTTTCAATGTTAGCGCAGTGAATTTCACAACAATACGTTTTGGCTGAGCTCCAGAATGGACCTCCTGCAGCATTTGAAATGTAAAAGTACTGATGATGTTGATAATTGTGCATCATGTTCAAAGGAAAATGACGTCTCTTTCAGACATCTTGAAAACTGCCACCATTATACCAACAAATACCTGTCAATTAGCTTCACATGTACAATCCCAGAAGACAAGCAGCTACCACAATGTTGTGTTATGATGTATTGTCCACTGAGCCATGAAAACATCATAATTGTGAAGACATCTTGATATTAAATATAAAAAAACATGCCCCAAAGAGCATTTTGTCTTCAAAAGTAAGCAGCAGGAGCTTCAGGAATGTAAGAAAAAGACTGCAACTGGTTGTATGAATGACAGTTCAGTTCAGTCTGAGCTTCATTTGAAGGTACTCAAATAACGGCAACCAACAGAAAACTACACACAGTAGTTGAAGAGCCTATATTATGTGCTGCAAAAAAATTATTGTTTCTACATTAATTAACAAAAAAGCTGCCAAGTATCTTTCCTTAATACCTTTGTCAAACGACACAGTTAAGAAGTGAATTGACGGTTTGTCAGCCAATATCAAGGAACAGTTATTAGAAAGAATTTGCATGTCTGCCTATTTTGCTCTGCAGTTGAGCAAAAAGCAGAGACATAAACAAACAAAGCAACATTATTGTGCAGCATCACATATGAACACGAGATGAATATTTTTGAAGACATATTTTCTGTTCATCTAATTGGTACACATGAAATACTAAACAGCTTAACTGAGTTTATAAAGGCTGGTGCTTGATTGAAATACACTGACAGGGCACAAGTAATATGTGTTGGAGCATGTAAAAAATCAGTTGGTGAGTGTGTTAACTGAAAAATGCAAAGCACAAAATTGATTGGTTGGGCCACACCCAGAAGCTATCTGAGCCTGGGAGTTTTGGCAACAGTTACATGTTTAAGTTTTCTGTGCAGGAACTTGAAAGGACAGTATTTTTTGCTTCTTGGCTGCTGGAAGAAGATCTCTCACATGGACACCAAAGGACCATTTTGAATATCTCTCAAAGGACATTGTGTGTGTCAGTGCAACTGTTCACATTTTTTTTCGTATCAGGAGCGACTTGAGAAACTGCAAGTTGTTTCTGCTTTGAGAGAATTTGCTGTCTTCAAGAACATTGCCCAGGGGACGCCCGGATGTTTTGATGTTTTTGCCATCCTTGTGGGAGGCTTCTCTCATGTCCCCCCGCACGGGGAGCTGGAGCTGACAGAGGGAGCTCATCCGCGCTCTCCTCTAATTCGAATCTACAACTTTTCGGTCTTCAGTCCTGCTGGCCCAAGGGTTTAACCCATTGTGCCACCGGGGGCTGCTAACTGTTCACATGACTGTATATGTGTTGCTCGGCATAACAAAGAGAAAACATCATTTTACTGATCATCTGCGTGGCATATCTTCTCTCTAGCAAGACAGTGTGTGGACTGGTAAAGACGTGAACTACGCGTGATTTTCATTCCACCACAATATCTGGAAAGCTTACTGGACTTGTAGCATGGATTAAGAAAATCATACCATTGCTGCATACACAGGGAAGCTCCATTTGCTACCAGAAGAACTAAAACAGACCTTATATAAATCAGTTGAAATTTTCAGTTTTATAAATAAGCAAATCACTAAAATCAAGACCTTTGCAAAGACATGAACAGTGAACACCATTAACTTTTGCCATATTGTGAATTTTTAAAAAAATATATTATTTTTATTATTTTACTGACCCAAAACCAAAGTATGTCACAGCAAACGGGATCTATATTCTGGATTTTGTATTATTGTTATAGTTATTATTATTATTATTATTATTATTATTATTATTATTATTATTATTATTGCTATCATGAGGTATACTTTTTTCTTACTTTAAGGAATTGAGAAATATGATAAGATTATTCCTGGAGCAGCAATTTCACCTTAGCAATCATTTGACAGATTTTTCCTGGTTAGTAAAATTAGCATATGTATCAGATAACTTCACCCATTTAAATTGCCTGAACTTAAAACTTCAAAGGGAAATGTTACGATTTTTCAAGTTCAAGACAAGATCGAAGCAATGACGAAAACAGTGTAACTGTGGCATCATCGTCTTTTGAACCAAAACTATGGGACATTTCCAAATCTCAGAAGTGTTCTTGGTTCTACCATGATGAGGAGGGCACATCATTTATTACATAGCATTTGAAATATTCACAGCCTCATTTGCGTGAATATTTTCCTGTTTTTGGTGCAAGCAAAAACTGGATTACAGCAGCAGAGGAAGACAAGCTCATAGAAATATCCATGGATGATGCTCTGCAATTACAGTTGGAGGAATAGTCCCTTCCAAATTTCCGAAACTATTGAAGAAGGCTATGAAAGTATTGATACTAGTTGTGAACACATGAAAAATCATTATGTGGGGCTACGGTGGTGCAGTGGGGCCGTGGTGGCTCAATGGGTTAAACCCTTGTGCTGCTGAACTGCCGACCTGAAGGTTGACAGTTCGAATCCGTGAGACAGGGTGAGTTCCCACTCTTAGTCCTAACTCCTGCCAACCTAGCAGTTCGAAAACATGCAAATGTGAGTAGATCAATAGGCAATGCTTTGGTGGAAAAAAGCAAAAAGATGCTCCAAGCAGTCATTCCAGCCACATTAACAGTAGATGTCTACAAACGCAGGCTCTTTGGCTTGGAAATAGAAAAAGAGCACCTCCCCCAGAGCCGGATTTGAACACTACCTCCGGAGCCGGAAATGAAAGGAGAAGCCTTTGCCATTGTCTTTGTGTCTGTGTCTCATTGTGTGTCATTATAATAAGGCATTGAATATTTGCCTGTGTCTGCTTGTTGTTATTTATTCGTTCAGTCGCTTCTGACTCTTTGTGACCTCATGGACCAGCCCACGCCAGAGCTCCCTGTTGGCCGTGGCCACCCCCAGCTCTTTCAGAGTTAAGGCAGTCACTTCAATGATACCATCCATCTTGCCCTTGGTCTGCACCTCTTCCCTTTTCCTTCCATTTTCCCCAGCATCATTACCTTTTCCAAGCTTTCCTGTCTGCTTATATATACTGTAATCTGCTCTAAGTCTCCTCGGGGAGAAGGGCGGAATATAAATAAACCGTTGTTGTTGTTGTTGTTGTTGTTGTTTTCTTTGCCTGCATTCATCTTAAACATAGAGTCAAAACTCAGAATATAAATTTCAGCTATTAAGCCCAATATAACAAAGCTTGTAAAGGAAATACAGCACAACCATCTTGTTAATTAGCTAATTAATTAAAATTAACAAGTAATATGCTGTGACTCAGTGTTCAGGTATTGCATCAGCATCATTTTCATTGTTTTCAATTTGTATGGAATCAATCTAATAAAATATTATCTTAGGAACATGTGGATTTGCTTATTTCTTCCTTTTCTTCAGACTTGAAGATCCTTGATGAACAACTTTAAATAAATATTTGATGCACTTTAGGTTTATGGATCTTGAGTTAAGTCTTGACGATCCACAGAACAAAACATATTTAAGGTCCATGGTAAAGAAAGAGTAAAAAACGGCTGCAGTGCAATATACAATTGCCAGACCTTTTTTGAAAACTTGGAACTTTTTCTGGTTTAATGAAAAAGCTGAACATCTGAATGGGAAATGGGGAAAGATGAAGAGAAATAAACTATTAAGGCACACAACAAGAATTGAGCACTTTCGAAGTAGCTGTTGAAGTCAGTGGAACTAACTGAGCAAGATGACATAGTAGGCTCTGACCAGAAGCCAATACATTTTTCAAGGTTATCTCAAAATTAGTTTGGCTAAATAGTTTGTAGAAAATATGGGAAGAGAAAAGGAGGAAGGTGGGCAGTTGTCTTGAGGATTTGTGTAAGTGTACTATCTACCTTCTCATTACAGTTCCTTGTTGCTCCTTTTTCCAATATGCCGTAGATTGCTAATAAATAGATCCTGTTTGATCACCTAATATCTGGTATTATGTGATTACTAGTGTTAATCAGTATAGTGATATAATAGAAATCGTACTTCTTCAGTTCTCTTGATCACGACCATTTAGATTAGGAAGTTGGTTGAATGTGAGAACTTTGCTGTTGTTTGCTACCTTGTATTAAAATTGTATTAATGGTTAGAGAGCTTTTAGGGACGTATCTTATCTCCCAGAGTGTTTATGTGTTAGGAAATCCAAAGAGTCTTTAAAATGTAATTATAATTCTTGTATCACCTAGGTTAAAGCTGGAAGAAAGAAGAAGCAAATTAGTTCAAAAACTTCAAGAAACTAGTAAAGAAACAACCAATTTGCATTTGCAGCTGAAAAGGTGAGATTACTCTGTTTATACTTCAAAAGAAAAATAATGTTTGTCCAACAGAGTGGTGAATATATCTAGTTTTGAATCCTTATGTTTTGTTTGGGGTGTTTACACTGTTTAAACTCGAGGTTGCGGAGAGTATCTAGCTTTTAATAATACTGGTTTGTGTGTGGTGGAATTGTAATAACTTGGAAGCTTTACTTTGTATTCCACAGAAAGATAATACCACCTTTGAAAACTTTGGTTCCTTGCAGCCTGTTCTGATTCTATGCATATTATATATGATTGTGTTGTTAATGCCCTTTCCCAAGAAAAAGAAGGGGATAAAGATAGGAAATAAGGGGATAATTTTCTTCTCAAAAGAAGCAACAATTCATTTTTTCCCCAAATTTCTTTTCATTGCCAGAAAGTCTTCAAAAACCACACAGATATCAATGCTTTTCTTCAAGTCAGAACTTATTTGGCATAGAATTCATATGTGGTTCTTCTGCAAAAAAAATACTTCTATGAAGAAATATTATTTGATGTGCAGAAAAAAAACTATTTCCTGTTCAGAAAATCCTTTGTGTGTGTTTTGCTTTTTTGCAAAACAACCTTATGTAAACTTTCTAGAGAATTAGTCCAAAAAATGCCAAGATTCAACTCATCAAGGTGTATTGATCCTCACATACATTTTGACTGTTTTTCAAATATTCTTTCTGTTCTTAAAAGGGAAAGCATTAAACATTAACACATACAATTTTGCCAGGAAACGGTCTTACGCATGTAAAGGTTGTCAGAATTGCAACTCTGTTCAATTGCTCATTTCCCCATTTCATCTAAACAGGAGCCCCCAGTGGCGCAATGGGTTAAACTCTTGTGCTGGCAGGACTACTGACCGGAAGGTTGGCAGTTCGAATCTGGGGAGCAGGGTGAGCTCCTGTCTGTCAGCTCCAGCTTCCCATGTGGGGACATGAGAGAAGCCTCTCACAGGATGGTAAAAAATCCAGGCGTCTCCTGGGAAACATCCTTGCATACAGCGAATTCTCTCGCACCAGAAGCGACTGTTTCTCAAGTCACTCCTGACACAAAACAACCTGAATTTAGATAATAATAATAATAATAATAATAATAATAATAATAATAATAATAATTCTCCTGACCTCACAATTGTGTTAAAAAACAAAGTATGGATCGTCAATGTTGCAATCCCAGGTGACAGCAGGATCGAAGAGAAACAACTGGAAAAGCTGACACGATATGAGGATTTAAAGATCGAACTGCAAAGACTCTGGCACAAGCCAGTAAAGGTGGTCCCAGTGGTGATCGGCACACTGGGTGCAGTGCCTAAAGACCTTGGCCTGCACTTAAACACAATCGGCACTGACAAAATTACCATCTGCCAACTGCAGAAGGCCACCTTACTGGGATCTGCACGCATTATTCGCCAATACATCACACAGTCCTAGACACTTGGGAAGTGTCCGACATGTGATCCAATGCAACAGCCAGCAGAGTGATCTTGTCTGCTGTGGACTCATCTTGTTGTGTTTCTAATAATAATAATAAGAATTATTATTATTATTATTATTATTATTATTATTATTAGAAACATAACAAGATGAGTCCACAGCAGACAAGATCACTCTGCTGGCTGTTGTATTGGATCACATGTCGGACACTTCCAAAGTGTCTAGGACTGTGTGATGTATCGGCGAATAATGCATGCAGATAATTATTATTATTTATAGACTGCTCTATCTCCCCGAAGGAACTCAGGGCGGTTTCCTACACATATGGAAAAAATTCAGTGCCAGGAAAGACGTATTAACAAATTGCATCAAAACAATACATGTCTCAAAACAATACACATCAATACAGATGCAAAATAGTTCCTAAACCTGGATCTGAAAAATAAGGCCTGACAGTGCCTTTTTCTTGTTTATACACAACTTCTTTGTACATAACTATTGCACACAAGAGCAAGTCTGCATTCAAAGTTAATGGAAATCAATTGAAGCATAATCAATTTCAGTATCCAAGTAGCTGAAGATTTCAGTATAATTGATGGGCAGAGAAGGCAACATTTCCTTAAAGAAAAAAAATGGCTATGTAACATTTCCTGTTAATTCTTTTCACTGTTATAATTATTTTGACATGCATCTTCAATTACACAAGCAAATGTTCATGTTCTAATTCTCTACCAATGGAACGGAAAATACCAGAGGTAGGGGAATAGAGACTTCACGCAGTGAACTAAAAAGAGGGGAAACTTTACAATAAATTTCAGACCAGTAGTTATACAGAGCTAAGACCAAGGATATACTGAAAATCCCTGAACATAAAGTAATCCAAAAATGAACAAAAATACTCTGTGATCCCTCCACAATTGCTTTGTCCTTGTGAGACTGAATTACATTATCAAAGATCTCATATATTTAATGAACTACCTTGAAAAGCTTGTATGAAGGTGTTATACTCAGGGTGTGTTCCAGAAGTGGTATCGTATTTTATTATGGGTTTTGTTTTTGTTTTTTTTGCAAGATGGTAGTGTACTTACCTATCTTACAATTATATTTGGGCAGTTGTCCTTATTTTTATGTTGTTGTTTTGTTGTTATTGACACCAACATTTTTGCTTTCTTGCAGTCTCTCTGCCAGTACATTATCTGTCTCTTCGGGGAGCAGCCTGGGATCCCTGGCATCCAGTCAGGGATCCCTAAACACCTCCAGCCGGGGATCACTTAACTCCCTTAGCTCTACAGATCTGTATTATAACCAAGGGGATCAGCCTACAGACTTAGACTATCAATATAAGCTGGACTTCTTATTACAAGAGAAATGTGGTTACATTCCTTCGGGCCCCATCACCACAATTCATGAAAACGAAGTCGTCGGTTCGCATGGGAGAATGGAATACAGTGGTTCTTCTGGCTCTTTGGCTGCAAGCCACGCTCCCAAATTAACTGAACCTCCAAAATCGGTGACATCCCTGTCTTCAAGATCTTCCCTTTCCTCCTTGTCTCCTCCTGGATCACCTTTGGCTTTGGAAGGCACGTTCTCGGTGCCTCCTCAAGATTCCCCATTGCATCATCTCACCACAGACTTCGAGGACTGTGATTTACCCGGTGACTTTGCCGGCATTAGCCTCTGTGGCAACCAAATCTTGGACTCGGAAGCCAGTGTATCCTCTCAGTCACTGGCGGATGATAAAGACCTCAATGAAAGTCTCAACCAGACCATGTCACCTCCGAGAAATACAGGTAAAATATGTTACAAGGTGAAATCTACATATTTGCATGTTGGTATGTCTCATTGTTCAGACTTAGACATGCCTCTTTATATGGGTTGCTGTGAGTTTTCCAGGCTGTATGGCCATGTTCCAGAAGCATTCTCTCCTGACGTTTCACCCACATATATAATAATAATAATAATAATAATAATAATAATAATAATAACAGCAAAGTAAAATAATAATAATAATAATAATAATAATAATAATAATAATAATAATTGGCACACTGGGTGCCGTGCCAAAAGATCTCAGCATTTGGAAACAATAAACATTGACAAAATCACGATCTGTCAATTTATTTATTTAGTTATTTATTTCCAACATTACCCCACCCTTCTCAACCCCCAAGGGGCGACTCAGAGCGGCTTACACTGGCAACAATTCAATGCCACAATGTACAAACAATTATAACAGATATAACAACAATGTAAAACAGTAAATAAAACAGTAAATTAAAAACAATTTAAAACATTATTATCAGCCATATAACCATTTCCAGTCCAGTTCAACCTCCAAAGTGCTGTCATGTCTGCTGTCCAAAGGCCTGGTCCCAGAACCATGATTTCAGTTTTTTCTTAAAAGAAAGGAGGGATGAAGATGACCTAATCTCACTGGGGAGCGAGTGCCACAGATGGGGGGGGGGGGGTCACGATTGAGAAGGCCCTGTCCCTCGTCCCCGCCAAACATGTATAAAAACAAACAGGCATCCTCAGAAGTTGATTGGTCTTTTGGAAACTAGGCAAGTGAGGTTTATATATTTGTTGAATATCCAGGGTGAGAGAAAGAACTCTTATCTGCTTGAGGCAAGTGTGAATATTGCAAATGTTCACCTTGATTAGCATTGAATGATCTTGTAGATTTAAAACCTGGCTGATTGTTACCTGGAGGGATTCTTTGTTGGGAGGTGTTTACTAACCGTGATTGATTCTTGTCTGGAACTCCCCTGTTGTTGTTTTTTTAAGTATTGCTCTTTATTTACTGTCCTCTTTATATGTCTCTTGGGAAAAGAGATTACCTTTAAAACAAATATGTACCGTGAACAAGATTTTTTAAAAATAGAATGGATGTACCATTGTCAACATGGGTTGTAGGTAGCTATAAAAGTACACATTCTGTTGGGATTGGATCTAGAGCTGCGATGAATAAATGTTTCCTTTCATTTTAGTGTACATTCTGTGTGTGAAAATACGTGTAAATTGTCAGTCTTACTTTATGGGCCATATGAATGTTATCAAAGGTGGTTGTTTTTGAGATGGGAGGGAACAATAGCACAAATAATATAAGGTGCACAGAAAAATGCTCATGAGAATCGATCCATGGGAACCATCTATCTCAGGCCATGAGTGGAGGAGGAAGGAAAAGAGGGAGAAAAAAAATGTGGCAATAGCTTTACAACTAACTGGTTTTTATTTTGGTATGAGTTTTTTTGGATATAAATATACGTCTTTTGATGCCGTACAGAATGAGATTAAGGCCTCAGATATAAAGTAAACGTATACTGTTGTGGAAGAGTGGGATAAAATGTAATAGTACCCAGAATGATACTACTCATGTCCCTTGCCTTAAATTTTGAAAGGACTAGGTAAGATGATACAGGTCTTCCAAATCTTTATAGTGGTCAGTTAATGTTGATGTGTGAAAGCAATACATCTGCTTACCAAAAGCCAGCTTCTCCGGGTTCAAAACTCTCTGACAAGACTCCTTTTGTGAGATGTTCAGTAGCAAGGACTCTTCTATTATGTGGCATGCCATGAAATCATTGCTTGTGCTTGTATTTCTACTAATGGATTGAAATTTGTGAATATAATTCAGTACCACTCTTTCTCTTTCAAGTCTTCCTTTGCAATTTATTTCTTCAAAGACCGTACTGTATGTCCAGGAAAATTGAAAGGATCTAAAACCATTTTTTAGACATTGCCATTTCTAATGTCAGACTGTCCTATTTCTTCAATGTGGAGAGTGCAGAGGGGCATTGCTGGCATACAATGGAATATATCATATTGGAGGAATAGCAAGTAAATGCAGCTTTAATAACTGTGAGTGTTTACCCCTGCAATATTGCTCCCAAGGTAGACATGGGGACAGAACTGGCATCTGAGTTTACGGCATGGTCATATCTTGATTCCCTATATCACAATCAATGTTATGTATCCTATTGTAAATTAATATTATTTTTTTAAGATTTGGAGGCTATAGGCCAATAAAGACATGCCTCCTAGATCTTGCAAGAGAGCTGTTATTCTACAGAATTGGTTGTAGTTCATTGATGGTGCATTTGAGTGATCTCAGCTAGGAATTCTAGGTAACAACTAGGAATGTTCTACCATTTTGTGTTTTCAGTCTGTCTTGTAGTAGATAGCTCTTGAATATTAATCTTGCCTTGCTAATTTGATTCTTCATGTTCTTAAATGTGTATTGTAGTATGAAAAATACCTGTTGAACATCCCAGAGTTTGGAGCCTTTGTCTTATGGATCTGAGCAGATGCAGTTATATCGGAGGACTTGACTGTAAACAATAGATTTCGTGCTCTGGGTGGAAATTGGAGGTGTATAACTATATGTAGCAGCCAGTGCTGTTTAGAAGTCGATTGTGCATTTGCACAGTGGTGTCAAGAAAATTAATTTGTTGTGTGGATTGGGTTGTTTTACCTTTTTTTGGGCTATATGGCCACATTCTAGAAGCATTCTCTCCTGAGGTTTCGCCTGCATCTATGGCAGGCATCCTCGGAGGTTGTGAGGTGTCACAACCTCCAAGGATGCCTGCCATAGATGCAGGTGAAATGTCAGGAGAGAATGCTTCTAGAACGTAGCCATGTAGCCCGAAAAACCTACAACAACCCAGTGATTCTGGCCATGAAAGCCTTCGACAATATACGTTGTGTGGATTATTCCATACTGAGTTGGATGGTAGGGTCATTGTTGAAATCCCGGTTGAACTTTTCAAGTACAGGCAGTCCCAGAGTTACAAACATCCAAGGGGTGAGATAACAGGATGTAAGATAAATCTATCCCTAGGAAGGGAAATTCACTCTTTAAAGAGTTATCATGGGGAAAAGGTATCTCCACTGAAGCTTTATCCTCAATCCTTATTTCAACATCAAGCCATTTTTTTCAAAATTCAATTATCAAAGGGACAGAAAGTGGGGTGAAATCTTCTGAACAGGAGCACAGACAGCAAAACAAACATCACAGGGGTGTTAATGTACCTGATTTGATTTACATACAAATTCAACGTAAGAACACATCTATAGAACTGAACTTGTTTGTAACTTGGGGACTGCCTGTAACTGTTTTCCATGAGGCTAAATTATAAGGATGTCATCAAGAAATTGCAGGCAGTGGTTTGGGGGTGAATGCTGAGGAAGCATTGTTCCAAGTCACTCATAAAGATGTCTGTATTCTGTGATTCCATATGGATTTCCACAACAGTGCCACTGACTTGCATGTACATATTACAGGTTGAGAATTCCATATCCAGAATTCCAAAATGTGTAGTTGCATGTCCTGGCTTTCTGAAGGGGTTTGTGTAAATTCTTTTTGTTGCTCTTGGAAAAATACATGTGTTGGGTTGCTGTGAGTTTTCTGGGCTGTATGGCCATGTTCCAGAAACAACTCGTTTCCAACAGACCTCTCAGCCTCTGAGGATGCCTGCCATAGATATGGGTGAAACATCAGGAGAGAATCCTTCTGGAACATGGCCATACGGCCCGGAAAACTCACAGCAACCCAGTGGCTCCGGCCATGAAAGCCTTCGACAACACAGTACTTATGTTGTTAGTGCAGTGACAATTGTCATGTGGTGCAGACTAAGGAGATACTTCTGAGCTGTTGTTCTGGCTGTTTCTCCTTGAAGTGTAGTGAGTGGCAATATTCCTTGAGGTATAGATAGTGGAAGAAAGCCTCCAGATTGCCACAGAACCGAATTATATACGTAGCCTTTGATGGGCAGAAAGATAGTCCTTGTGAAAGGATACATAGATAGACCCAAGCCAAGGCTCACTTGAACGTCACAATGTGTGCTTTGATCACCATTATGAAAGAACTCTTTGAAAGCTTGGGTCCTTAGTTGGGCATAATTTACCCATATCTTTAGCATCTTCTTGTTTTTTTCCTAGTTATAGATGGTGGGGTTTTCATATCTCTTTGCAGTCTTCGATATTGTAGTGCCTTGAAAAGTCATCGTAATGCTTGCTGATTTGTTTGAGCAAGGAGTTAAAACTCTTTAGAAACACTCGCCTTATGATGTTTGTTAAATTAACTGATCAAACAAGCTAAAATTTCGGGGCCGCGCAATGTCAGAAGCTCACTTAATTCTCATGAGTTTATTCTGAATGTATTTGTTTACCAGCATCAAGAACTATATTTGCATTTGCAAGACCGAAATGATTTGCTGCTATTAGATGCGGAGAGGGATAGTTTGCTTTCAAAGGTTTGCCCCCAAAGGATAAAGAAAGGGCAAGAAATGCACATTGTAGGGAATTCAATAATTCTTTAAACAATTGGTGCATCACTTAGGAAGGAGATCGGCTGTTTGGTGACTCCTACTGATATCTTCTCATGCGGCACCTGGGTATTTTTCATTAAGAACCTTGATTCTTTCGCTTGTTTGGTGAAGCTATGTGTTCAAAGCCTGTTCTTTCTTCCTTCCCTGGCCTTCCTACATACAGTATTGCTGCCACCTTCTGGTTCAGGTATTTATTTTCACATCTATTTTCTCTTTATTGGGATACTATTTTATGCAGAAATAGAAAGGCTTTAATGTTCACTCAAGCAATTTCCCATGCAATTTACGAAGAATAAAATGAAAGATCAAAGAAAATAATGTCCAGTCCTTATTACAGTAGTTAAAACTCTGTTTAAAGGGCTTGAATTATAATTATAATAATTTCTTTTGCCTGAGACCCAGAAGATAGCATAGTACGCATTAGGCAAGTTCCTTAAGAGAGTTAATTCCATGAATAGGCTTCG